ATGTTTTGAGAATGATGAGGGCAATGAATGTACAAATGTGCTTTACACAATTGATGTATGTATGGATTGTGATAAGAGTTGTATGAGCCCCTAATAAGACAATTTAAAAAAATCTAAAGCATCTCTTGGAACAATCTTCTGCTATTGTTCTGGCTTGTGCTCGGGCATCCAGACCTGGGTAGTGCCCATGATCTAATAAGAAATTAGAGTGAGCTGTCCCACTCTCCTTACTGCTACCATGATTACCTCTCAACCGCTTGGCAAACCACTAGGTCGAGCCACAGGGCACTTTGAAGAAAAGAACAAAATAAAACTTACGTGGTTGAATTTCCTTTGATGTTTCCATAAGAAAGTTCAAGCATAGAGTAGTGTGATGTTAAAGGTTGAGAATTTATTGGAGCTAGAACACTGTGGATACAGCAGAGGGGGTCAAGTTGAAGTGAGGTGAAAATCGAAATTATGGCAACCTTTTTCCTAGTGCCATTTCCAGAAAACAGCTGCTGGGTGAGAAAGCAGGAAATGAGAGTAAGCAGCTGGCACTTGCTGCCAGGTCACACTGGGTCACCAGTAGCTAGTGTCTCCACTTGCATGGCTGAACTCAATATCTCTTCTCTACAGGGAATAATGTCATCCTTACTGATATGACTCACTAGAATTTTTTATATACTTGTGTGAGGATTGTTTTTGTTTTGTGGGAGCATATAATCCATTTCGGATGTTTAGAGGAACAACACAGTCTAACAGTTAAAAGCAGAGACTTGGAAGCCTCCCTGCCTGGTTCAGATCCACTCTAACTGGTTTTGTAATTTAGACAAGAATCAACTTTATGGGGGTGGAGTATATGGTGAACCTCTTAGAACAGTGCTTGACCGTAATGTGCAATGATCGAAAGTTTCTGTTTTAATTTCTGGGTGCATTTGATCTAGTGTTATGTCTGACTTTTTAGGCTCTGTTAGGAATTAGGACTGTCTTGTTCACTGTTGGATCTCAGGTCCCTCTCATTGTAGGTTGGCAAGAAATATTGATTGGATAAGTGAATTAAATATGTATAGACAATAAGAATGATAATATATTAACTTATTGGATGCTTACTATATGCCATGCACTGTGCTAGATCCTTTATACTGACGATCTCTAAACCTCATAGTTCCCCAGGAAGGTAGGCAACCTGAATCTCCTGACTCCGCATTTTATAGTTTTGGTAACTTAAGACAGAGAGGTTAAGTGATTTTTCTAGGGTGACCCTGCAGATTAGACTTCAGATCTAGATCGATCTTACTTCAAAGCCAAAGTTTCCTCTCCTCCCAACCCTACGTCACCTCCCAAACATACATACCTAGTTACCTGTCTACAGTTTGTATAGTCAGACACCTGGAATGCCATGTTAAGATGTGTATGGCTGCATCGTCTACTAATAAAGCCTACTTACACATGAAATGTAAAAGTGGTGGGGGGGGCTTCATAAAGTCTGTGAGAAGTTATCTGTTAATTCCATTTTTCTGAGAACTTTCTGAAGCACAGAGCAAATATACCAGAGTGCATTGCCCATTGCCTGACCATATAATACATCACTTTGCTGCAGTTGAAGTAAATTACCATTCATTGGCCAGGCACCCATAACCAGGAACTTCAGTATTATTTCTAACTTTCAATAAAATGTTATAAGGATATTTATATCCATTTGAGTCTTCACAGGAGTTTGAGGGATTAGATCTAGGTTGTTATTGTTAGTAGGTTGTTGTTGTTAGTTACCATCAAGTTGGTAGTTAACTCATGACTTCCCCCATGTGCAATGGGTAAGAAACACTGTGACCCAAGGGATTTCACAGACTTGATTTTTTTTTTTCAGAACTAGACTCCCAGGCCTTTCTTCTAAGGCCATCTTTATTTGGAAGCTCTCCTGAAGTCTGTTCAGCCCCATAGCAGCCTACAGGTCTCCATTGATGACTGCAATTGAGGTGCATTTGGCTGAGGACTGAATTTACTTCTTCTGCTGGAAAGGCGAGAACTCTATCATAGCCATCACTGATGGGCCATTAACCGTGAACCAAAACCATATCAGTTGCTGTCAAGTCGTTACTGACTCACGGCAGCCCTGCATATGTGGAGTATACTGCTCCATAGGGTTTTATGGCAGTGACCCTTTGAAAGGAAATCTCACCCCTTTCTTCCAAGGCACCTCTAGTGGGTCTGAGCCCCTATCAGTTTGTCCCACTCAGGGTCTCTCCTAAACTCCAGTAACTCACTGCCATTGAGTCGGTTCTGACTCATAGCAACCCAACAGGACAGGGTGAAATTGTCCCACGTGGGTTTCCAAGACTGTGACTCTTTATGGAAACAGCAAGCCTCCTCTCTCTCTTCAGAGTGGCTGATGACTTTGAACTGCTGACCTTGAGTTTAGCAGCTCCCAGGGCTCCTGTGAGCTATCCATCGGCCACCTGGAAAGAGCAAGCTTAGACCCATCTTATTTTACAGTGTGATCAATGGCCCAGTTGGAGGAAGACATTTCACAAGTCTGCTTCGATGCCAAAATGAATAGGACAGCTCTCTAGTAAGTGCTTGGTCTCTAAATGCCTTCAGCTGGGCGCAGGGTAGCATGGAGTGGGCTCCACAGGCAGATAGGAGAGGTGTTGTACAAGGGCTCTTTCCTGGTGGAATCTGACGGACATGTTATCTGAGGTCCCTTTCAAACCTCTGAGTTGAGTGGTTTAGATCAGACTTTCTCCAGCTTAGCACTCTTAATGCTTTATGATGGGTAATTCTTTGTTGGGGGGTGGGGGAGCATCTTGTGTATTGCAGGATGTATAGCAGCATCCTGAACCCAGAATAGCCCTACCACCTCCAACTGTAACAAACCAAAATATCTCTAGACATTGCCAGTGTCCCCTAGGGACAAAATTGCTCCCTGTTGAGGACCACTGGTTTGGCTGAATACATTCATAAGTTTGGGGTAGTCACGTTATAAGAGGGCTCAGTAATTAACTCCCCGAGAGTGAAGGCTTAATATGTGTTTTAAATGAACTGAACTTGTCTTCTTTTTAATTTTGGTCTCTCTGTGAGAATGAATTTATTAACAGCTCTTTGTTCCTAATAAGCACCAGAAAATATAGGGTTGCTGTGAGTTGGAATTGACTTGACGGCAGTGGGTTTGGCTGTTAGGTTATTGACACTGAGATATTTTCACTGCTGAGAGGGTTGAAAAGTGAGTGGTTTTTCAATACAAGGTCACCTTATATTCAATAATTATTCTGTTACAGCTGAAATAACTGAATCCAAGAAAAGATATGTACATATTCAATGGCAAATAAGACTCTGAGCTGTGTACAGTAGGACGCAACCTCCCATATGCTAGGAAGACAGCCTGGCCCTATCATCAGCTCATCAGGATAAACACTTTCTTGCTCTATATAATTGATTAGGTAACCTGGAATTTTAAACAGGCAGTTCAGATAAGCAAGGTCACCTTATATTCAATATTTTCTAAACTCTGTTTGTAGTACTAAGCCTGCTTGTTTGATATGATCTGAGTAGCACTGGTCGTGCCAAGAGGAACTGCACGCTCTAGGTTGACATGGGTGAAGAAACCTTTGGAGTGTAAAATCTAGAAGTTTTCTAGAAATGGCTCTTGTCATTTGTCCCTGCTTTACCGTAAGACCAGCTCTGTAATTGCCACCCAAAAGTTTTGTGATACCCATACCATTTTAGTTCCGTTGGCAGAATCCACCACTTGCTTAATTGGCCTCTGGGTCTTGGATCTGAAAAGTCAGCAAGTTACACTAGCAGTCTAACGTTGCTAAGAAATTAAAGGGGAGTTTAAAACAGCTCTAAAAAACTGTTAGCACTTTAGTCAGAAGAATGCATCGTGGATTCAGGGAATATTGACTGAAAAAGCGTCCTGAGTCCTTACATCCCTTGCTTAAAGAGCACCTGTTGTGCTGTTTCCTGGAA